TATGCTTCTATTCATTATAATGGTAATTGATGAGGATTATCGTGGTGTACCCGTGGCGTTTATTCTATTTTCTGCTCCACATAGATCTAACAGAACAAGCGCGGGATATGACTCCGACATACTCCACAAATTGCTGAAACAATGGAAACATTTTCTTGAGAAAGATTCCATGGTAGAATTTAAACCGAAGGTATGTAATTAGATATTTAATACTTCATTTCTAAAATGCAAATAATTTAAGCGTATATACCATGCATAGGTTGCAATGACGGATACTGACACTAAAGAGCGGAAAGCTTTATCGGAAATATGGCCAGACATTTATCTTCTTCTCTGCTTTTTTCACGTGCGGCAATGCTGGAAAAACCATCAAAATCATTTACTTGGCAATCGTGGAGATAAAATAACCATACAATTCAGGAATCAAATACGTATTTTTCTTAATAACATAATCAACTCTATTAAAGAGATGAATTATGTCTTTAGCATTCGTCAATATATTTCAAATGCCAAAAAAGTCTTAATGCATCAAGTGGAACAATGCAAAGAGCAACTATCCAACCAATGTCTTGGAGTTCTCGAGGGCGCTGTAAAATTTTGTACTTATCTTGAGGAGGTTTGGCTTGGAGAATTAATCTATGGATGGTGCAGTTCGGGAAGAAAACATATTGCAAAGGAATGTGGAATTGAACTCCGTTATCTCCCCACTACAAATAATCATTTAGAATCGTTTAATAACACACTTAAAAGCATCCACCTAACTCAGTATCAGCATCAAGGTAGACGACTACGTGTAGATTCTTTAGTTGTTTGTCTTATTAAATTTATAATTCCAGACGTGCTTCTCAAAAGAAAGCTTAATCACCGATTGGCTGAACAATTACAGGAAAGGAAGGAAAAATACTCGCAAAATGATCTAATAAAAATTCCACATCATGAATTTGAGACCTGTGCTTTTCAGGTTCCCAGTCCACAACGAGACTCAGATGCTAAAGTTATTATAGAAAAAGGGCTTATCAGTTATTTCGAAGAAAATGCTAAAGAACTTTTTGTTTGGATAAGATCTCAACGAATGGAAAATACCACTTACATAGTACAATTAATGCCACCTGCTTCCACGTCATGTCAATGCCTTGATTTTTTATCTCGAGGAGGAGCCTGCAAACATATAAGAG